GGCCTTCCGCGTCGCCGATCCCCTTTCCGCGCCCCGCTCCGGAGGTGGGGGACCGGCCGGGGCCTTGCGGGGGAGGCCCGTGGAGGGCGCGACGGGCTCGGCCGCCGGGCTGGCCTTTTCCCCACTGGTCTTCCGAGTCGACCGGCTCTGGCGGTGGGGACCGGGCCCGGTCCTCGGATGCCTCCTCCTCCGTGGCAGTTTTTTGTCCAAGTCCCGCCCTGGAGAAGACCGTGGACCGGCCCCGGGAGCCGCTGTTGGAAATCATTCACCCTGTCTGCGCTGGTCTGTCTGCGGACCTTCGGTTCTCTTCTATTGCCTTATGTGTCTATCCATTGCCAGCACCACACAGACTGGCGCCTGTGGCTGTATCGTAAGATTTGAAATCAGGTAGGGTCAGTCCTTTCTTCTGTTTGAAAACCATTTTGGCCATTGTAGGTCCTCTGCTTTGTCGTGTCAATTTAGATCAATTTGTCAATTTCTACAAGAAAATCCTGCTCCTATGTTTATGGTGATTGTGCTGGGTCTGGACATCAATCTGGGGAGAATTGACGTCTTAAACATATAGAGAATTCTAATCCATGAACAAACATCTCTATTTGTGTAGGTTTTGTTATCCTTTATCAGTGTTTTGCAGTTTTTGCATACAGACCTTGTACATATTTTTATTAACATTTATACCTAAGTATTTCAAGGTATTTTTGGTACGATTGGAAATCATATTCTTAAATTTCAATTTCACATTGTTTGTTGATACTATATAGAATTACAGTTAATTTTTATTTCTCTACCTTGTATCCTGCAACCTTGCCAAAATCACTTGTTAGTTCTACTACTAATTTATTTTTTATTCGGTTATTTTTTCAAAGGCACCTGAGCTAACATCTGTTGACAATCTTCCCTTTTTTCCTTCTTCTCCCCAAAGCCCCCCAGTACATAGCTGTATATTTCTAGTTGTAGGTCCTTCTGGCTGTGCTGTGTGTGCTGTGTGCTGCCCCAGCATGGCCTGATGAGCGGTGCCATGTCTGCACCAAGGATCCAAGCCTGCAAAACCCTGGGCTGCTGCTATTCCTTTCTTTTGCCGTGTTGTACCAGCTAGGACCTCCTCGTACGATGCTCACAAGGAAGAGTGAGACAGACGTCCTTCGTGGTCCTGGTCCGGCACCACAGCATGGGAGGTCAGCTGTGGGGCTTCATGGATGCCCTTCTTCAGGTTAAGAAACGTCCCTTTTCTTTCTACTTTGCATGTTTTTTTTCATGAATGGATATTGAATTTTGTCAAATGCTTTTTCTTTACATTTCAAAATAATCATGTTAGTTCTCTTTTTTAGTGCGTTAATATGATGAATTAAAAACCAACCTTACATCTCAGGATAAACCTCACTTGGTCATATCTTTCTTGTATGTTATCAGGTTTTATTTGCTAATATTTTATTAAAGATTTTGCAATTGTCTTTATGAGGATATATCTCTGTAATTTTCTTTTCTTATAATGTATTTTTTTTTTAATCAGGGTAATGCTGGCCCCATAAATTATTGGAAATCTTCCTTTCTTTTCTGTTTTCTGGAAGAATTTCTTAAGCATCGGTTTTCTTTCTTCTATGGTTATTTAGTAGAGTTTTCCAGTGAAACCACATTGACCATGAATATCTTAGTTGAAATGATTTAAACACAAACTCAGTCACTCTAATAAATATAAGCGAGAATCTGTTTCTTTATGAGAGGGCTTTGAAGGTTTGTGTCTTTCAGGGAATCTGTACATTTTGTCTAAGTTATCAAATGTATTGGTATAAAGTTTTCATAATATTAACTTACTGTCCTTTAAAGGTCCATAATAGGTAGGGTTGCCAGACTAAGTATAATAATAATAATAATGATGATGATTGAACTTCAGGTACAAAAACAAGTATTTGTCAGCGTGAGTTTGTCCCATATATGTTGTTATCTGAAGTTAAAATTTACCTGGTTGTGCCCTATTTCATCTGAAAACCCCCATAAAATATCTAGTAAAACTTCTTTCAATCTTGATATTGTTAATTTGCCTCTTCTCTCTTTTATTTTCATTATCAGTCTGGCTAGACACTTATCAACTCAATTGATCTTTAGGAAAAAATCAGCTTTCAGTTTCACTGTTTTTCTCTACTTTTCTATTTCAATTTAGTTGATTTCTGTTCTCTTTGTTTTTTTAAAGATTGGCACCTGAACTAGCCGAGCCAATTTTTAAATTTTTTTTTCTCCTTCTCCCCAAAGCTGCACAGTACGTAGTTGTATATTCTACTTGTACGTTCTTCTGATTGTGCCACGTGGGACGCCACCTCAGCATGGCCTGATGGGGCAGTGCTAGGTCCGTGCCCAGGATCCAAACCGGCGAAACCCTGGGCCAACGAAGTAGAGCGCACAACCACCCACTCAGCCACGTGGCCGTCCCCTGTTCTTCTCTCTGTTGATTCTTCTTTTCTGGCGCTCTGGGTTTAGTTTCTTCTCTTTTACTAGTTTTTAGGGTGGAATCTTCAATAACACTTTGTGTGCTTTCTGCTGTAAGTGGTGGGTGCAGAGATGCTCCTCTGAGCAGCAAGGTGCCTGTGTCCTCAGGTTCCCTCCTCTGAGATGCTCTCTATTCCCTCTCGCTTCCTCTTTGATTCGTGGGTTATTGAGAAGTGGGTCATTTAATTTCCAAACACTTGAGGATTTTCCAGATTTCTTTCGTTTACCAGTTTCCAGTTTAATTCTGTCGTGATTAGAGAACATACGTTGTATAATTTCAACTTTGTAAAATTTGCTCAGATTTGTATTATGGCAGTGAGCATGGTGTATCCTGGGAGTGGATCCAGCGCACTTAGAGGAAGCGCATCCTGCTGTTGGTGGTGGATTGTTCTAGAAATGTCCTTCAGATCAGGAGTTCCAGTTGGCTGACAGTGTTCCTTGCTTCGTCTCCACCCTTGCTGGTTTTCTATCTAGTTGCTGTATTGATAGAGTGCTGAGAGCTCCAGCTGTAACCGACTTGCCTCTGCCTCCATCAGTCCTTGTTTTTGCTCCATGCTGTCAGAAGCTCTGTTGTTACACACATATTTGGAATTAATCTCCTTAGGGAACCGACCCTTTGGTATCAGTAACAGCTTTCCTTCTCCAGCAGATGTTCCCAGGGAAGAAGAGGGGTTGGGCCATTGGGCGTCTCCCCAGTGGAGGTGTCCCCAGCCCTGCATGCCCCAAGGTGGTACTGGTGCCCGTTTGAGTCTTGGTAGAAGAGCCCAGAGTGGCTGCAGGACCCCCTGTGTGTGGCTCCCAGGGTTTCTAAACTCTCCTGTGGCCCATGTGGTCTGTGACCTGAGTAAACCTTTCAGCTCATGTTCTCACCACTTCCATGATGTGAGTGTTGCCTCTCACCCTCTTGGAGGGCTGGCCTGTCTCAGATCTCTGGCCACCTGCTTTCCTTGTCACCTTGGGTCTTGGGTGGACTTGCGGTGATTCTGTAGTTTATCCAGCATTGCTGTTGTCAGGATGGGAGCAAAGCCCTTCCCCTCTCTCTGCCCCTAGGCAGAAGCGGAATTCCTCTCTGTCTTATTGCTACTTGCTTAAGTAAACAAGACTTATGACACGTAAGGCAAGCGTGAAAGTTCTCAGAGACTTTGTAATCTATTATCTTTCCTGTAGTTAAATGCTTTCCTTGCCTATATTGATTGAATTCATATTCCTGAGAGACATATGGTGACTTAAAAAGTTGTGTTAAACTTCAAAAGAGTTTTTATTTGATTTTTATTTGACGGTTTGAATTGATTCTTTCATATGGACCATTTCACCAGTCATCAACTAAAGTATCATGAAAAAGCTTTGCTTATATAGAATTTAATAACTGGAATGTGTAGGAAGAAATAAACTTGGAGAGAAGACCTTGGATACATGAGGGACGAACAGTAAAACAGGCAAATTTAGTTCTAATTTTAGTGAAAGGAAAAGATGCCGAATTTTTGAAACGATAGCTTTCCCTCGTGTCATGTGACGAGATGGGTCCTCCAGGCTGATGTGTGGACATCCACGCCCGCAGGTCTCTGCTTTCAGGTCTGAGTGCGGTGACCCCTCCCCTGACGAGGGAAGTGCTCTTCATTCCTGCACATCCCTGCACAAGCCCCCTGCACACCCACACTCACCCCCCACTGGGTGAGCGATTGCTGGGTAAGATAAACACACTCTCTAAATACATCCCACAGGTGATATTTACCATGCATACTTATTATATACATTTGTAAGCAGATAAGCACTTGTAAGCAGATAAACCTGGCAGACATCCCTCCAACCAAATGTGCAACATCAGCATCACCACTGAGGGAATCCTGTCCTGTTGCTTCCTAGCGCCTGAGAAGAACCCAAGGCCACCTCTGCAGTGTTCCTGCCCTAACTGTTCATTTGGGAACTCATCAGGAAGAAGCACGCAACCACTCCACATTGGGGGGAATTAGGCAAAACCACCATGCTGGACTTTTCAGATATGTCAGTGTAATGAAAGAGGAGAAGGCGGGACTCACCAGCTTGAGGACCACAGGGACGGGAGGCGCAACTCGATGCCAGATGTTGGGATGGATCCCGGAGAAGAGAATTCGCCTGGGAGAGTCGGGCTGCATAGGAGAATGTCCTGGTTACTAGGAGATATGCGCTGGAGTGTTTAGGAGAATCATCTAGATGTCTTCAAATAATGCTCCAACTATTCAGCAAAATCCTTCAAAATGTGTAGATACATTGGGGGTTATGGAATGAGAAATCAAGAAAATGTGGGAAAATATTAACAATTTGTGAGTCCAAGTGATGGGCAAAGGAGTGCTCTGTGTACAATTGGGACGACTTTCCGAGGCTCAAATTTGTTCTACGTAAGAAGTCAGAAACAAGTTAATCCAAACAAAGAGAAAAATGAGAGGGCTGAATGCCTTCACATCAGGTGTTTTTGCTGGAAGGAATGGATCTTTATGTTGGAAATATGTAGCTTGAATTGAAATGATGGGTATATCCACGGGCATGATGAAGAATGTCTTACACACAAAAGCCTGAAACCACACGAATTTAATTCTAGGTTGTTGGAGAAGGCTGGTGGTAAGCAGCAGGGGATTGTTTTCATTTCGAGAGGCAGGGGTTAACCTGTGAAAGACGATAGCTTAGCTGGGAATTACACCTGCATTTCCGCACAGACCTGAATTTGGTGATTTAGATACTAGCTCAATTTTGTGCCTTCGGAACTAGCTTGTCACGTACAAGTGTAAAATATTTTATTAGTCTAAAAACATAAAGGAGACATTTCTTAAAAGCAACACATGCTGTCTTTCAATTCAGAAAGGCCAGATCATAAATTAATGCATACTGATGAGGAAGCAGAGAATTATTACCAGAGAATAATTACTAATTACATTAACAGGGAATAAGCAATAATTAGATACTCATTAAATAATACCAGTATATCCCAGTTCTCTGCAGAACAGCAGACTCGCTCTCAGGAATGACTCCCCTGCCCGTGTCAGGGATGAATGCCACTCCCGTCACTCCCAGAATGAGTACCAATCCCATTCACGTCAGGAACAAGTACTGCTCCCACTGCACACAGCGACGGGCCTGCTGCTGTCAGTCTCAGAAACGGCTCCCACTGAGAGACTTCGTCTCAACAAAATAAAACAAGTCTCAAAAGGGACTCGTCATGGGAGCGGGCATACACCTCTCCCGATAGCAGACACGTAAGGTACCTCCACGAAAAAACTTTTCAGGAGAAAGGCAGATAACCTACACATATAAAATAATGATAGACTGAATTCACAACCTGGTGAAGCTTGTGTGGGGCCACACTGCCTCTCCTTTCATCTCTTTCTATGGTCCTATAAGCTTGTCCTTCAATGCACATGGTTCTTTTTCATCAGTATTTAGAGACACCGTTGTGTGAGACTGTGAGGAGCTGCTCTCTTTGCACTCTCTGCATCCAGCCGAGAAGAGCCCACCAACATTAGTCAGGAGGGGCCAACACACTCAGCCTGGCTCCAGAACGCTTACGTGGAGTCGTGGGTGAACCGGAAACGCTCCTGGGCGAGCAGTGAGGAACACTGGCAGACACGGGGCTTCAACTTGGCTCCCCAGCACTCGGCACAGGCGCACTGGCCGCAAAGCCCGCGGCGTCAAGTGAAGATGGCCCCTGAGGCCTCTACACAGGCGCAGGTCACGTACTCCCCAACTGGCCAATTGCAAGCTTGGAACACTGCACGCGGCCCTGGCTTCCTCTACCCTGAACAGGGACCCAACGGCTTTAAGCATGCGCACTAGCGCTTGCCCAGAACCGTTAGCCCGGCTGTGGCTCTCGAGGTTAGGCGGAGCGCACTGCGCAGGCGCGCTGCAGGATGCCCCTCCCCTGGCGCGGGTTCATCCAATCTTCGCGGAGGCGCCAAACGCAGGCGCCGCGAGCTGAGAGGAGATGGCGGGGCTGCCGGGGGCCTCGGGCGTGGAGCCCGCGGGAGCCGCGGAGCGGGCTGAGGAGGCCGGAGGTAGGGCTGGGGCTGGGCTGTGGCGGGGGCGGCGGGGGCGGGGGGGCCCGGGCGGGCGGCCTCTTTCTCGGGGTCGGGCGGCCGTGGGGGGGACGGCCGTCGCCTCGGAGGGACGGTCTCAACCGCTCAGCGGAGCCGGTGACTCCCGCGCCGCCGCCTGTGGGCTCGCTCGCCTGGGCCGCGCTTGGCCTCTGCTCCGGGTCAGGCGGGAAGTGGCCGGGGTCACCCCGTCCGTGTGGTCCGAGAGTCCCCGCAGGCCTCCCTCAAGGAGGAGAAGGGGCGTCTCCGGGTCTCCCGCCTCAGGGAAGGTCCCATCATGCTCGTCGCACGACCCGTGGCCCCAGCGTGGCTCTTGCCGACGATTTTGCTTCCGAGACTGGGATGCAGGCGGTCATCGTGGCGCTGGCCTGCCGCGTGGCCCCGCAGCTCGCGGGACGGGGCGGCGGCTCGAGTCGGTTTACGGAAGTTCCGAAATGAGAGCCCAGCGCAGAGAAGATGAGAAGTCTCCCGGCCGCGTCCACCCCCCGGGACGTGCTCCTGCGCCATTCACGGGACTGTCAAACCTCCGCGGAAGGGTCGGGCACCGCGGGAGGGGCTAGTGCCTGCGGACCCCGGCTGGCGACCCCGCTCCCGGGCCCCCCGTGCGCGCTGCACCTGCAGTGTCCGGGTCGCCCCCTCAGGCCTGCGTGCGGCAACGCCACCTTGGTGCAGGCTAGGTGCTCCACGATGTCTCACAAAATGAAGGTTTGAACACTGAGCTAAGCTTCGAACAGAAAGCTTGCTTGGGGCAGGGTATGGTACCCAGGGACAGCCCTTGGCCAAGGACAAAGAAAATGGGACAGATGCATAGATATCCTTTTTATCAAGCACCTGCTCTGGCCACCACTGCTTCCAGTTCCTGAAATAAGCCAGCATATTTAGGCGAAGGTTTAGTCAGTCTTAATTTCATCAGCATTACCAGTGTCTCGGTCATTCGGGCTGCCCTAGCGGGAATACCACAGCCTGGGTGGCTTATGAGCTACAGAAGTTTATTTCTCGCAGTTCTGGAGGCTGCAGGCCCAAGACAAAGGTGCCTGCAGATTCGGTGCCTGGTGACGGCCAGCTTCCTCATTCCAAGATGACTATCTTCTTGCTGTGGCAGGAAGGGCAAGGGAGGCCTCCGGGGTCCCTTTTATAAGGGAACTAATCCCATTCACGAGGGCTCCACCCTCGTGACCTGATCACCTCCCCAAGGCCCCACCCCCTAATATCATCACATCAGGCACTAGGATTTCAACATAGGAATTTGGGGGGGACACAAACATTCATTCTATAGCAGCCAACTATGAACCATCAGCTTACTTAAAAAGGGGGCAGCTGTCTAGTGTTAGTGACACTGGAGACACAGACTCTCGCATACTGAGTTGATAGCAAGACTAGTGGTTCAAGGCCTTGCAGTAGTCTATCTGGCGGGATTTTCAGCATTTAAATTGCTTTTACTGTTTTTCAGTCACCTTAGGGGATCACACAAAACACATAGACACAAGGATGGAGTAGTCACTGGAGCCTAGATGGCGGTAGGAACACATGGGGGAGGAAGTACCTGTACACTGGATTTCTAAAATGAGGAGGAAATGTAATTAAATGTAATTAAAGTTCGTTTAAATTAAGTCAACTTTTAAATTGTTAGATATATTTATATTCACACAGCATGATCTTCAAAAGATATTTTTATGAGAGAAAAGCAAGATGGGAAAATGATAATTATAGCACGGTATAGGGTGCACAGAAAGATGTCTGGAGGCTGCTTTCCTAATTGACGACTCTGGGGAAGGGATTTGGATTTTGAGGGGAATGCGGAGGTGAAGGGACGTTTTTAATCTTATTTGATTTTTCTTACTAGGACTATGTAGTTACTAACTGTAGAACTTTAAAATGTAAAAGAGAAAGGAGGGGACATTTTTTAAATGCCATTTGAGGATCAGATGTTAATATCTAGCAGTGTTATTCTCTCTTTTTTAAGTGTTGTACTGTGGTTACTATGTAGGAGAAATGTTCTTATACTTCAGAACTTCACACGAGTATTATGGGGTAATGAAGCATTGTGTCTGCAACTCATTCTCAAGGTTCAGAAATGCTAGCAAATGGGGGGTCTTTGTGAAGGGCCTATGGGAGCTGTGTGTCCTATTTCTGCAACTTTTAAGTAAATTTGAAATTATTTTAAAAGTAAAAAGTAGGGGGTTCTTACCACAGAAGCTGCTTTGTGCCTTGAATTTTTTTGTTAACAAAGTATTACTTGTTAACAGATATTTACTGCTTTTGCATTCTGCCGTACCTTATGACTTTTCATTATGGGAAAATTTATGCGTATACAAAAGTTGAGAAGAAAGTATTGTTACTGCATGAGCCCATCTTTCATCTTTGAGCCCAATTATCAGCTCTTGGCCAATCTTGTTTCCCTTTTATCCTCCTGGACTCCCTGCCATCCACTCCCCCGTTTCATTTTGAGCCGTCCCAGGCATCATAGCAGCTCATCCATAAACATTTCTCTGTATGCCTCGAAAAGATATCGAAAAGATAAGCACTCTCTTCAAAAAAGTAACCATATAGCATTGTCCCATCTGAATAATAGCTATAATAATTCCTTTGTTTTATCAAATGTGTAGTCAATTTTGAAATCTCCCTGATTTTGTCCTCAATATATATATATATTTTTTTGTCATCAATATTTTTTAACGTGCATTTGTTTGAATCAAGATTCAGATAGAGTCCATTTCTTGAGATTGGTTGATATGTCTCTTTAATATGACTCTTTGGGTCTGTAAGAGTCTTCTTTTCTCCCTTTTCCGAAATTTATTTGTTAAAGAAACTGGGTTGTTTTCCTGTGAAGTTTCCCAGTCTGGATGCTGTTAACTGCATCCCCATGTGCCATTTAACATGGTCCTCTGTCCCTGTATTTCCTCTGAATTGGTATTTGATAGAGAGCCTTAATAAGTATTCATGTCATTTTTTGGCAAGAATCCTGTATTGTAGGGGCTGGCTCAGTGGTGCAGTGTTTAAGTGCACACGTTCCGCTTCGGCAGCCCGGGTTTCACCGGTTCGGATCCCAGGTGTGGACACGGCGCCGCTTGGCAAAAGCCATGCTGTGGTAGGCATCCCACATATAAAGTAGAGGAAGATGGCTGTGGATGTTAGCTCAGGGCCTGTCTTCCTCAGCAAGAAGAGGAGGATTGGCAGCAGTTAGCTCAGGGCTAATCTTCCTCAAAAAAAAAAAAAAAGGAATCCTGTATTATACTTTTACATCATGTGGCTCATAATGTCCAGGTATCTTTATTGTGTTGTTAGTGACAGTAATCATTGCCTAGATCTACTAATTCCTTAGGGGGTTAAAAATAAGTGCCTATAGCGATTAAAAACAAGTAAATATAAGATGTTTTACTAAGAGGCTTCAGAATAACAATTGTATATAGGAAAACTATTTGTGTTTATATTTGTTTAAACAAGACATCTTATTAAATTTTCTTACTGTTCCTTATTTTTAAAAAATCAGAGTCTCTAGAACTTTCTAGTTAATTTTGCCATCTGCCAGTTATAGTGATTTTTGACTCTTTGTTTCTAGTTTTTTATACCCCTCGCTTGTTTGCTGTCATTATTACATCACAAGCTCTGACCCAACCTTGAACAGTATCAGCAGTGAGAGTGTACCACTTCCCTTGCCCACAGTTTTATTAAGGGGAAATCTGTGGTGTCATTTCACACTTTAGGAAAAGCTGACCATGAAGGGGCCGGCTTCATCTCTCATGCAGTGTCCACCTCATGACAAGGAGCAGGGGCACCACTCTGGCTGGACGCCTGCCCTCAGCCCGCGTCCCTCCCAGCCCAAGGTTGTTGGCTCCTCCCTCAGGCCTCCCACTCCTATAGTATTCTGAAATGTTTGGTTTTGTCTCCACAGGGCAGACCAAGTCCGCACAGAAAATTGAAGACTTGATGGAATTGGTGAAGAAGTTGCAGAAAGGTCACATGTCTTCTCTGTAACTGAGGCTTAGCCGGAGGTTTGGGGTCAAGCAGAAGTAGATTCAATTCCAGGCCCCACAGTTCACAACCTTGAGAAATTAACGCATTCACTCTGTCTTGCTTTTAAAACTTAATTCTTTGAAGTAAAAATATGACCTCATGATTCAAGATTAAAAGTATAAGGAGATAGAAGGCAAAACATTTTCCTAAAACCCAGTTGCAGCCCCTTTGCTGGCCGCCCATTTGGCTCCTGTTGCACTCAGTTAAGTCGCGGTTTTCACCTTCACTTCCCCTCGCTCCTTCTCATCTCTGCTGCTCTCTGCTTGCTCACCAGGCTCCTTCCAGCCATTTCCACCTCAGGGCAGGCCTTTGCATTGATTACCTCCATCCTCACCCAGGGAGCTGCAGAGCCTGCCCCCCTCACTTGATTTGGGGCCCTCAGGAGGTTCCCATGTCTAAAGAAGTACATCCCACTCCTTCACTCTTTAATCCCTGCCCCCTCTATTTCTCTTGGCTACAGTTACCATAACCTGACTTGGTATCCTTATCTGTTCCTCGTCTTCACCACCGGAATATGAGTCCCTGGAGGGCCCCCACCCACTTCTGCCTGCCCTGTCATCTCTACTAAACCTCCTTTCCTCCCTGCAGTGGGAAGCCTAGAGCCCAGGGTGGAAGTCCTGATTAACCGGATTAACGAGGTTCAGCAAGGTGAGTTTAGGGACTTTGGCTAGTCAACCAAAACCAGCTACGTGATTTGCAGGGCCCAGTACAAAGTGCAAATGCAGGGCCCCTCATTCGAACATTACTAAATATTTCATGATAGCAACAGCAGAGCATTAAACCAAGCACGGATCCATCTAATGCAACTGCTGTAGTCACGTGTCCATTAACCTGGCCCTGCTGCCAACTGGACTCAACAAGAAGGGCTTGGGCTCTGGAAGGCTTGTTTCCTGTTCTGTAAATTCTGGGCCCCTCTAGGTTTGTGAAAATGTGAAATGTCACTGTTTACAAGGAATAGTGCAGCTGGAGGCCACACTTACACAACATCTGTCATTCTGCTGTTTGACACAGCAAAAAAGAAAGCCAGTGAGGAGCTGGGAGAGGCCCGGACTGTCTGGGAGGCACTGCAGAAGGAACTGGACTCATGTAAGCATGCCAGGGGTCACCCAGAGGTGACCACTCAGCATCCTTGCTGTGGCCAAGGGCCTCTGCCTTCTCTCTGGCCTTGGGTCCTACCAATCTCCCCGTCTCCCGTTTTGTGGCTGGGAGTGTTCCCAAAACACCCTTCAAACATACCCGACCTCAGGGCCTTCGCTAGGTTGTTCCTCCCAGGTAATAAAGGTTCTTGTTGCCTCATATCATTCAGCTCTCATCTCGAATGTCCCTTTCTCAGAGAGACCTTCCCCAATCATCCTATCTAAAGACAGCACCCCACCCCCACTTGGTCACACACCCCTTACTGCTATTTCTTCACACTCATTATCCCATTTCATGTGATGTGTTTATTTTTTCTCTCCCCTTCATATAAATGCACTGGCATTCTGTAGGGTCCTCACAGCCGCCCTTTATCAATGTCAGGGAGTGTGGGCACAAGACGGGAGGGGAATCACCTCAAGTGGTCCACATTTGGGGTTGGGGGTAGGGCTGTACCAAACCACCCATGTGACTGTGGGCAAGCCCAGTCCCTGAGGGTGCAGTGGGTGGTCCCTGATGCCTAAACGTGTTTACTGTGTTTTCCAGTGAGTGGAGAGAAAGTACGCATGAAAGAGATCTTGAGCAAGAAGCAAGGTGATTGCAGCTACTCTATATCCGGGCTTTCGCCTTTGCCACCCTGCAGAAACTCACTCTCTCCATAGCAGCTGAAGCCTTTTGAAGCCTAAATCAGTTTGCATCCCTCCTGTGGCTTCCACCAGACTTGCAGTAAATGACAAAGTCCCATCAGGTGTCCATGAGACCCCACAGGATCTAGCCCTATTACCTCTGCCCAAACCTAATGCCTTGATGGGCTCTCACGGGGCCCTCGTTTCCTCTCCTTACAGAGACCCTGAGGATCCTTCGGCTCCACTGCCAGGAGAAGGAAGGGGAGGCACAGAGGTAAGAGCTTCCATTTGGGCCTTGCTCTGCCCTCCCCCTGCCCTCTGGCAGAGTAGAGAATGTAAAGGAAGTCAGTCTTAGACCCACAGCTCTCTTATTCTTCCTCTGTAAATGGAGAGGCCAGATGAGTGTCTTCCCACCTTGGCTCCAGCAGTAGGCATAGTGTTAAGGATACTCTCTCACTCAGTGGGATAATCCTTCATTTGCTAGACTGTCAATTCAATTCCTTCAGCTGGTTTTGATTCTGTGTCCCACACACTCCTTCCCACACACTCCTTGACTGTCTATTCGTTCATCTGTTCATCTGTCCCTTCATTAAGGCATCAGGCCAACCATCTGTCCACCCGGTATCTCTCCATTCATTCATTATCCTTCCATTCACCTATTTGTGCATCCCTCTCTCCACCTCTTCAATGGTTATTTAGCTCATTTTGTGACCAGGGGCCTCAAGCCCTGCCATACCAAGGTTAGAACTGTGGGAAATTCAGATGAGATTAATATGTGTGTATGCTTGTACACTGGACCACGTCTGCATTGGTCTCCCTAATCCTCACAACAATATATCCAGTGGGCATGTGCTCATGCCCTCCCCCGTGAAGTTATAGAGAAGGACCTCAATCCAGAAGGCTAGAACAGACCTCAAGAGAAGGAGGCAGAAGCGTCACGCCAGTCGCCTCCTGGGGAGACATTCAGAGAACATGACTGAGGTCTGCCTTGCATCTTCCCAGGAAGCAAACCATGCTGCAAGAGTGCAAGGAGCGAATTTCTTCCCTGAACTCCCAGATCGAGGAAGAGAAGAACAAACAGAGGCAGCTGAGGTAAAGCCCGATGCCCGAGGCCTAGGGGCTGGGGTGGGTTAAGGGCGGGGGTAGTATCCGGGATGGGGGGTTAGAAGAGGAGCTGGCTGAGCTGAGGCTTGGAGGGTCAAGCTGGTGACGGTGCTCCGGGCAGAGCAAAGAGCGTGGGCAGGCCCCCCGACGTCTGTGCATGAAGTCCTCTGGCCTGGGCCAGGTTGGGGAGGGGTGTCTCGGCCTGTGGGCCCTGAGCCTGTGTGGTTGGACCCCAGGTTGAATTTTGAGGAACAGCTAGAGGATCTGATGGGCCAGCACAAGGATCTCTGGGAATTCCACGTGAGTCATTCAAAGCCACTCCTCCCACCTTCCACATGTTCCCTGGCAGCATCAGGCCCAAACTCAGGGTCATCCTCCAGGCCTCCTCCTCCTCAACTGCCACACCCAGTTCCTGAGCAAGGCCTGGTGGCCATATGTCAAAATCACCCTCAGCTCAATCCTCCGTCATCACCCTCACTGCCACCCAGTGTCATCCTCTTTGCTGGCCTGCCCGTCCATCCCTGCCACCCTCCCAAGGCCCTTCAGTAGTCAGGATGAACCAAGGAGGGGTCATCCATCGAGGAGCTCCATGGATGTGTTTGCGGCCATCACAGGCACTGGGCATTCAGTGGGGAACAAGAGGCCAGTGTTTGCCACCTGGTTATCCCAGGCGCCAAACAGGAAAATAGGCAGAGAAAATGAATTTCAGGATGGAAGGGCTCAGGGAGGAGGCCACACAGAGGGAAGAGGAGAAGCCGTAGTGCTGGGCTGGTAACTGATTCTCCAGAGAACGACCCTGATTTGTAGTGTTTGCAGGATCCCCTGTGGTAAATACTTGACCCAGGGCTGACTTCAAAGCTTGCAAAATTCCTGAACATTAACCACCTCATGAGCCTCTCCAGCACAGCACCACAGGTATCTGGGGTGAAACGGGTCCAGGTGGAGGGGATGGCCAGTGCAAAGGCCCTGAGGCTGGACCCTGCTTGGCACCATGGAGGGCCAGAGTAGTAGGAAGTGAGGTGTGCTGAGTAAAGACCAGATCCAGGTCGGCTTCTCTGAGGTGCATGGTGGGAAGCCAGGAGATGTGGATGCACCTCTTTTCTACCCCCTCAGAGGCCAGAGCATCTGGCCCGGGAGATTGGCGCCCTGGACAGCAGCAAGGAGCAGTTGCTCAAAGAAGGTGAGGCCTGGAGAATGGGGAGGCCCTGCCCCGTCCTCCCCTCCCGTCCCCTCCCCTGCCCACTTGTCCCTTCCTGCCACAGAGAAGCTGGTGGAGGCAAAGCTGGAGGATGTGAAGCATCGCCTGTGCTCCCAGTTTGGGGCCAGGGGCTGCTCAGCCATCACTGAGGGGCTTTTCCTCCGCAGCCAGGAGGCAGCAGCTGCAGTGTAAGACTGGGGAGGGGGGCGGAATGGGGCGGAGGGAGGGAGCTGCCGGCACTGGTGGCCCCACCCTCAGACATCTCTTTGAGGAGGAGAACAGGAATGCCCAGCGGCTCCTGGAGGCTGCTGCCCAGCGCCACGAGCAGCTGCAGCAGAAGTGCCAGCAGCTGCAGCAGCAGAGGCAGAGGTGGGCATGCAGCCACCCTCCTCTCAGTCCCCAAGGGGAAGGTGACTGAGGGAGTCTCTGCTCCCTTCCAAGCCTCCTGGTCTCTTCACACCCTCGTGTCCCTCTTCTTCCCACCTCTTTGTGTCCAGGCTGAAGGAAGAGCTGGAAAAGCTTGGGGTGCAGGTTCCTGCTGGAGCCCAGAGCATGCAAGAGGAAGCGGTTGGCCCTGGAGAAGCTGTGAGCCCTGGGTGCAGGGAGTGGAGACAGCTCACGAAAAGACCTGGGGGCGGGAAGGCAGAGGGGGCCCGAGGAGTCCTCAGAGGATTGTCTGGGGGGAAGGCTGTTCCCACAGAGGCACAGCTGAGGCAAAGGTACAGAGGCTGGCAGGGGTGGGGTGGGGAGGGCCCCAGGGAGGGTGTGGGCACAGACGCATGGAGACTCCTACTTCAGACCCTGACCTCCTGCAGGCCAATCCCAAGCCCCTCGGAGTCAGTGAGGAGAACGACCCAGAGCTGCTCACCGAGCAGGGCCCGATGCCCTCCTAGGCAAGGAGGACCCACTCTGCCCTGGAGCTTATTCCATGGACTTTGGCAAATAAAGACTCTATTTCAGTACAGTTGCTTCAGCTTAGTCTGTGCTGGGGGGGGGGGGGTTGTCAGGCCCAAGACCCCCTGGCCCCTGAGACTGGGCGAACCCTTGGCCACACTGCCTCTTGGCTTCAACCAGAGTCCCACACCAGGCACTCCGTAAATGCTTCCTGAAACCTCAGTCTCTGGTCTGCTCATCTCTAGGACTTGACATGCTGTTCCAGGTCCCCAGGCAGAGGGATGTAGGCCTGAGACTGTCTCATGAGAGGCCCAGGGCTTCTGCAAACCTCTGGTGGTTTCTTCAGTTCCTTATTCAGGACTGGACTACACAGAATCCCAGCAATCCCAACAATGAGGACCAAGGTGCTGGGGTCCTCGCCAGTCAGTTCCATACCCACAGGCCCCACTGATTAGCTGAGAATAAGAAATGTAATTGGAGGCTAAGTATAGTCTGTGCTCTCGTGGGCACAAAATATATGACTGAGACACTTGTTACAAGAACATGATATGTTAGAAATGCTCAGGAGTCAATCACCTGGGACTATTGTGTGCTTCTGAGGCATGTGTTAAATCCACTGAAATGGATCAACCCAGTTCAGTTAAGGGCAATGAAGGAAGGCAAAGTCTGTGCTCTTGGGTCGAAGTACAGTGAAGTAAGTACAAAGAGATTCCTTCTCTTGAAAGGCTCCCACAGTCAGGTAGGACAGTGACATGGCGGGGTTGGAGAGAGGCCCAGACAGGCCCCCAGAATGAAGAGCACTGTTTCCGTGGAAGAAGGGAAACTTCAGTCATTCAGAGACCTTAGGCATCAGACCTCAAACTCAGCCTCTCAGGTTCCTAGCCATGAGACGGCTTTAATCATACTGTCATAGTGTCATAAATGAACTAGCAATACCCTATCAAAATAACTCATGCATCTCATGGAAATTAAGACAACATATTCACATGAATGACACTGGGAACATCATGCTTGAAAACTGCCGTTCAGGGCTGGCCTGGTGGTGCAGCAGTTAAGTTCGCACGTTATGCTCTGGCGGCCTGGGGTTCACGGGTTTGGATCCCGGGTGCAGACCTACACACCACTTGGCAAGCCATGCTGTGGTAGGCGTCCCACATATAAAGTAGAGGAAGATGGGCATGGATGTTAGCTCAGGGCCAGTCTTCCTCAGCAAAAAGAGGAGGATTGGCAGCAGATGTTAGCTCAGGGCTAATCTTCCTCAAAAAAAAAAACAAAAAAAAAAAACCGGTTCAGCTAAGCCCATGATTAGAATTAATTTTGTAGCTTTTTAGTTGGTTCACAATGAAAAACAAAAAACAATTAGTTTAACTGATGAATAAAAGGCCTTTGACAAAATTCAATACCTATTTCTGTAAAGAAAAAAAAACCCCGTGAAAAGCTAGGAATAAAAGGTAACTTCCTTTATACTTGGTGATGAATGTTTAAACATTTCAGGTATATTTAGATACTGTTCACCATACTGAAACTTGTAGACAGTGAAACAGGAAAGAAATGAAAGCGTAAGAATTTATAATTATGTATTTTAGAAACGTAGAAGAATCTACAGATGAATTACAGAGTGGCTAAATGAATATAAAAGTTTGCTAACTAGAGGTCAACGTTAAAAAATAAAATTTATTTGTATAAACCAGGGCATAGGAACCAAAATGACGATGCTTAGTAATCTATAGTTTATTGCAGGGAAAGCAAATAACAATAGCATTAAAGGAAAGATATGCATCAGGTAAGGATGCGAACCTTAGCCAAAGGCTGCCTCACAGCAAGTGGCTGGGAGAGGCTGGGCACAGGCTCCAGCTTCCCTCTCTGTAGGGTTGTGCCAGGTCACACTCTCATGCTGGGAGCCAGCAATGTGTGCACAGAACGCCTCAGAAACCGGGGGCCCCAGATGGAGTATAGGCTGGGTCTCACACCCTGCTGCTAATGTGTGCACATTCCTGCTGTGCACCAGCCCTTCCAGGCCCTCACCAAGACCAGGTGAGAACCAGGTCAATCATAAATTTTGCTGTCATCAGTACACAGTGATTACAAGCAGGTACAAACCACATCCAAACTCAGATCACATTATTATTCACTACATTTCGTGTGTGGTCAAGGGGTGGGCTGTGCTATCCAGGTACACATCTCGCTCCAGAAAAACAACTCAGCCAGATGCAGGTATGCTGGAATTAAGCAGCAACAAATAGCTAAGTGAAATTTTAAGATAAATATTTACAATAGCATAAAAATACCATCTATCTAGGAATTAATATAATGACAGATATATACAATAGCTCTCTCAAAACTATACAGTTGGCAGACATTTTGAAAGACCTAAATAGAGATAGGTCATGTTCATGAATTGGAAACTCATTCTTGTAAAGATGCCATTTCCGCCCACAGTGATACACGAATCCATTCCAATTTCAATAAAAATTTTGCAGCTCTTTTGTGTAAAATCACAAGCCAATTCTAAAGCGGATGTGGAAATGTAAAGGTGCAAGCATATCCAACATGCTGTTGAAAATGAACTGAGGTGAGAGAATACCTCTGCAGGATACGAACACATTTTATGACGCTATGGTGAATGAGACTTTGTGGCACTGATGGAAGGGCAGAGAGATGGCACAAAGAAAGTCGAGAAAGAGCCCGGTGCATATGTGCACGGCTGATGATGACCAAGGTGACCTGCAGAGCCATTTCAATTTCTCAATAAATGTTGCTGGGCCAACTATCTGTTCAGGAACAACTAATAACATTTGGTCCATAAATCATATCATACCAAAAGATCTATAGATTTGAATGTAAAAAGCAATTTTTGAGAAAGCTTTATGACTTCATTGTGGGGTGTGTTAGGGTTTTCCAAATAAACAGAACCAATGAAGGATGAATGAATATATATATATATATATATATATATATATATGTATTTTTTAAATCTATATAAAATAAGGGATTGCTCATGCAATTATGGAGGCTAAGTTCCAAGGTCTGCACTTGGTAATCTTGATGGTGAAGTTTCAGCCCAAGTCTGAAGGCCTGAGAACCAGGAAAGACGATAGTGTAAGTTCCAGGCTGAGGGCAGGAGAGGACCCATGTTTCAGCTCAAGCAGTCAGCCAGGGCAGACTCGTCCTCTTCCTCAGCACTTCCGTTCTATTCAAATGTTCACTGATTGGATAAGGCCCACCCACACTGGGAGGCCAGGCTGCTTTACTCAGCCCACCAATTCAAATGTCAATCTCATCCAGAAACACCCCCCCCACCCCCCCGCCCGCCCCAGACTAATGCTTGACCAGATGTCTGGGTGCCCCATGGCTTGGTCACGATGACACAAAATTAGCCATCATAAGTCCATCCCTTTTTACCTTGCCACGCATATAAATCTCCTTAAATCATACTTAATCTCCAAATAAAGACATAAAAAGGTCAAAATTCCACCAAACATGGTAACATCTATGCTGCATATAACCATGTCCTTGAGCAATGTTAGCTCTTCTCCTTGATACCCCATAACAAATACTGTGATGTAAAATTAAGAATACTTAAACAGTGTGATATAAAGTCAATACATCTTATGTTACATGGTAAGAGAATAAGAGAAGGAATAAAAAAAGATATTTGCCATACACACGCACATGTACAAACATATTCATAACAAAGGGGGGACATTCAGGACAGTCACGGTCCTCATCTCTAACTGGTCAGAGAGTCACAGCTGTAGTTCTGACTGCCTTCATCTTCTCCCACTACCTATTCTGTATTCCCTTTGCTTTCAGCAAGCACTGCAGCTGCTTGTGGCTCTTTACTGGGTGGGGTGACCCAAACCTTCATTCCTGAGGAGTCTGGGCCAAAAGTAGTCCTGCATGGATTGAGTTGTAGTTTTCCATTACCTTGATTACAGGGCTTGATGATACTAAGAGATGCCCTAAGGGACCTCTTGCATCACAGCCATGTTCTTGCTACCTCCATTCCAATTTCCCCTTGGTAGTCGGGATCAGTCAGTGCTGCCAGCACAGGAACTCCCTTCTTTGCCTGTTGATTCAGAGGCACGAGGAGCTCAAAGTGACCAGGCAGCAGTTTTAATGCCCAGTTCAGTGGAATCATTACTGTGTCTCCTGGTGGAAACACTCTTCCCTCTGGGACTAAGACCTCTAGGCCAGTGGGGCACAAGGTTGCACAAACGGAAAGCAAAAATTTTGCCACTGGGTCACTAGGGGTAATAGTGAGCGCTGCCACTCCCATTTTCACGGCTTGATTTTTGGACCCTTAAATTCTGGCTGTGGGAAACAGCACCATAAACTGGATGCTGATTCAGAGGATATCCAAGCATCTGGACAACCTTGTTCCAGCTCTGCAAGGCAGTGTCACCCAGCTGGTGATGTCACTGAGCCTTCAGAAGGCTGCCTGACCATTCTGTCAAGCCAGCTGCTTGAGGACGGCGGGAGCTTGGTAAGGCCAGTGCATTCCATCCGCGTGGGACCACTGTGGCACTTCCTTTGCTGTTAAGGAGTTCCTTGATGCTGTGTGGAATACCATGACACTGGACGAGGCACTCTAAAAGCCCTCAGATGGCAGTTTTGGCAGAAGCATTGTGTGCAACGGAGGCAAATCCACATCCAGATTTATCCCTGTTCTTATCCCCTCCGGAGTTGCACTCATTACTGCTATTAACCAAGTCCCACATTTCACTTCTCAGAAAACAATGCTGGATTCTTAAAAAAGGCATTCAACGGCACCTTCATCTCCCCGATAGATCCCAGATAGCTAGTGTAACTGAGACACAATGGTCTCCTCAGACAACACCTCGTCAAATTCCAGTCCTAAATGGGTCTCTATCTTGCCCCAGGACTTAATCTCTCTTAATTCAAGGCCCCTTGGCTGACTCATGCCTAACACAACTTTAAAAGCCTTTTCATCATCCTTTCCTATGTTTAAAGGGGGATATGTTTCATCTACATGTATGTGAAGACTGATTATAAATGAAGCAATTTAATAATGTCTCTCCTCTAGGAAATTAAAATTAGCACTCCA